CTTCCTCTCTCACGGCCAAAGCCAAGCACTCCCAGTGTGGGATCCTGGTGATATTCCCTGACAGAAAGCTCAGGAAAGGGTGGGGAATCCCCCAAGATGGAAACCCTAGGAGATTTTTTTTTTTCAATTTCACATTAGTCTACAAACTTTGTCATCATTCCCACTTATGCATTTGTTATAGTTTAAGTATAAAATGATCCCTTAAAGCCTCATGTGTTCAGAGGTGGGGCTTTTGAAAGGGATTGGATCATGAGGGAGCTATATTCCTCAGTGAATTCATCTCATCATGAGTTCAGAACTCAGGGTGCTGTTAAGAGGCAAAGCCTGGTCAGGAGAGGTGGACTGTGGAAATGACCTGGAAGGGTATATCTCCCGCTTTGGCTCTTCTGCTTTCACTCTGCTTTAAAGTATCATGAAGTGAGCAGCTGTTCTCTGCTATGCTGTTTCTGCCTTGGAGCCAACCAACCATGGACTGAACATGTGAACTCAAATAAACTTTGACTCCTTTAAGACACAGTATTGAATATTGTATTTAGCAATGGGAAAGTGACTAAGACGGATGTTTGGACCAGGACCAGAGTCACTGTTGTTACTATGTCTGAACATGTGGATTAGAAGTCTTTGAAAGTGGTTTGCAGGAGGAATCTGGAAAGGTTTGGTGATGGGGGCTAGAGAAGTCTTAGAATGCTATAAGGTGAGCTTGATGGCTTGATGGGAGATTCTCATCTGAGCTCAGAAGACCAAAATGTTGATAGAAATGCAGACCAAAAAAACCCAGGCTCAGAGTTTTAATTGGGAACAAGGATAGCATTGGTAGTTAGAGTACAGACTGTGTGTTTTACTCTCAGGCAGAAAATTTTTCTACATTTTTCCCATGTTCTGAGACTTTGCAGGAGATAGAGATTAAAAGCAGCAGTCTTCTCTGGGCTCCCAAGAGACTCATTTCTGTCTCATTATGCATTTAGTACATTTCTAATTTTTGCCAAACTCTTAACAGTTCCAGCATTGCTGAAAAGTCCAAGTCCAAAAGCTCCTCTGAGAGTCAAGGTAGAATCTCATCTGTGAGTCCCTGTAAAAATCAAAACAGCTAAACAGCTCCAACACACAATCATATAGGGTAAACATTCTAATTCTAAAAGATAAGAATAGGGGGATAGAAAGAAATCAGAACAAATCAAGACCAAAATCTAGTGGAGCAAATTTAAATACTATAAATCCATGTCCAGCACCAGAGCAAGATGTGTGCTCCAAAAGGGTTGGGCAGCCCCATCCCTGCAACATTGCTGGCTGCAGCCCTCATGGCTTCTTTCTTGGGGTACCTCTGCTTACTGCTGACAGCTTTCCTTGGCAGACAGTCCATGTTCCTGACTTCTCCAACTTCCTAAGATTTCCACTGCAATTTGTGCTTCACCCTTACACCTCCATGCACTGCCCTCTCAGGGGCACACTGCCTGGCCCCCAGGTCTTCTGATATCTGGGTAGAAGCCTCCATGACCTTGTAACTCTTGCATTCTTCATGCCTAAAATACCAGCACCACACGGATGATGTCAATGTCTACCACAAGCTCAAGCACAGCCAGACCCCCTGCAATCGTGATTGCAAAGATCTCTGTGTGACTGGATAGCTGGACACTGTGAAAAGAACCCTGTCAAACCAATTCCCTAGGCAGCCCTCATCAAATAGGGAGACCACGTGCCCTCTTCTAAAGTGAAAACTTCATAGTTTTACACCTTTGAACTTGTGAAAGATGTGGCCTTGCTGATTCCTGACATGCCCTTAAACCATCTTTCCTATTGTACAGAGAAAGTGTGACTTGTCTCTCTTTCTGCTTCATCTCTCTTCACCTTGGATTTCAGGTTCCTGGTTCTCAGCTTTCAGACTCTGGGACTTACACCAGCTGCAGTGCCCTCACCCTACTGGTTCTCAGGCTTTTGGTCTCAGATGTGAAGTTCTTCCATTGTGCTCAGGAAGGCTCTTGACATGGACTAAATGACACCACCAGTTTTCCTGGTTCTCCAGCTTACGTATCACGGATGGGACTGCTTGGCCATCATAGCCATGAGTCAGTTCCAGGGCTCTCTGTTTTTACTGAAGAACCCTAGCTATGTAGTACAAAGGCACTGCCACTCAACAGTTACTTAAGTAGTTAAACATAAACCTGCTACATGGCCCAGCCATTTTGCTCCTCAGTATTTATCCAAGATACATGGAAAGGAATGTTGATTCAAAGATTTATAGGTTTATAGGTACTATATTGACAATAGTCCCAAACTAGGACAATTTAAATGTCCATCCACAGGCAAATATGTACATGATGTGTGCTATATCTATGGAATAATGCTACTTAGCAAGAAAGGAATTAACTACCGACATACCACCAATGTAGATGGACCTCAAAATAAATACGTGGAATGCCAGGAAATCAAAGAAATGGCATGTACTCTATGATTCCATGTGTGTAAAAGTCTAAGCAGTGCCAACATATCTATAGGGCAGAAAGAAGCTGGTCAGTGTTTGCCTAGGGTGATATAAGGAGAGAAATGTGGGAAGAAAGGATTAAAAATGGACATGAAGAAACTTTAAGGAGTGGTGGTCATGTTCATTCTTTTAATGTGTGGTGATAGTTTCAAAGGTCCGTACTTATATCAAAATTTATCAAATCACATACTTTAAGTATGGGTACCTTACTGTGTTTAAATTATACTTCAATCTCAAAATAAAAAGTAAGGAGATGTAGTTAAAAGTAGAGGAATAGAATAGGCATAAATTGGATACATCAGATATTCAGCATCACTAATTATTAGGTCAGTGAAAATATAAAACACAAGGAGATGCTACTTCCCACAAATTAAGATGACTATTATCAAAAAAACCCAAACTGTTAGTGAGGATGTGGAGAGCTAGATTTATATGGCATTTTAATAAAGAGTGATGAATCATGGGAAGTGCCTAAAAAGGATAAGGGGATTTGGGCTCCTAGAGTGCTAAGCCACAGAGAGATGAGTAGGAAACATGGAGTAAATAAGGGTTGTTCAGTAAAGTTTGTTATGCAAGCCCATCTTCGTACTGGCTTTGGATTTCCTAGTATGAGACACAGGAAAATACCTTCACAAATGGACACCTAAGTTACCTTTACAAGGGATCTTTATGCTGTTTTTAGGTAGAAAGAGGGAGGGCAGAGAGCTCTTACTGAGCTTGCTTTCTCCATTACTTTCATCTTGAAATAATTCATTGGCTAATATGATGTATTTTGGCTATCGTGGGCTGGAGGGAGATGCAAGGGCATTATTGTTTAATAAAAAGGTTCTGGACAGAGGTAGTCCTGATAGTTGTGCATCTATGTGAATGTACTTAATAGCGCTCAAGCTATATACTTAAAAATAGTTAAAATTTTCAATATATGTGCACACACATATATACATGTCCAGAATAAAACATTGAAAAAAGGGGTATATTAGAACTCCCGGGGGCAGATAAATTTTTGTGTGTAAACCAAAGACGTTTCCTAGTGATTAAAAGAAAACACCCTGGATTTCTTTGGGGAAAGAATTTTCCAAAATATTTGGTTACAGGCTGATGATAAGTGAAGAGGTGAGCACAAACTACTATAGATACCACCTCAGGCTTCAGGCGTGCACATTAAACTGAAGGAGTAGTAAGGAAGAGTCCTGTTGCAAAGGGACTCACCCACCCAGCAGTGCAACCTGCCAGCTTGGGGCACATCTTGAAGCAAGGGGGTCTCCCATCTCGGGCTGGTGCACAGTGAGTTCCTAACCATGGCCTGCAAATGGCTTTCCCTGCTGGCTCTGTAGACCAGTGGCTCCTCTGTATTTGCCATGTTGTGATGACAGTATCTGTTCTGCTACACAGTGTCATTTGAAGATAACTAAAATTAAATAAGCCAGCAAATTGCCTTAGTTTTGAGGCTGAGTGGTATTCTGCTGCTGCCTAGCACATGTGAGTGCAGCGTGCACCTCTGCCTTCCTACTGCTTTTTACCACACAGTATGTCAAGGGTACAGCGCCCTACCTATAATCTTTTTACTTTTTTAAAATTTAATTTTGTTAGTGCATGTTTGTAATTCACACAGTTCACAGCCATCTTGGGGAGTTGTTACATGTACATATTACAGGTCAGTCTTTTCTTAATCCTCTTCTCCTTACCCCTCCTCCTTTTTTCTTCTCCCCTCCCCTCTTTGGTTCTTCTATCACCTTTTACATCACCTTTAATATTTGCTTGATATCATTTGTCTTAGCTCATGTTATGGCATATACAGTTTGCACTGATTGGAGTTATTAGGATCCTGTACATGACACATCTTTTTACTTTTATTTTTACTTTTGCTTATTTATTTTGTCCTGCTTGTGATTGAACCCAGGCCATGTACATGTTAGGCAAGTGCTTTACTATTGAGTTATACCCTGAGCCCTTGTAATCGTTTTATAAAGAAACATCCTAAAAGCAACATAATAAAGGAAGGAGTTCCAGTAAAGTTGCTATAGCTAAGTTGGTCTTAAAACTATTCATGGCTTCTTTTGATTCTATGCTTCAGGTAATTAACATGGAAGAAACAAGCCAGTGTGTTCTGGAGATTTTGGCAGCTTTTGTCAAAAGATAAAACACGTGATTGTATTTGTAATTAATATAAGAAAGAGAATGTGTTTGCCTCTTTTGATTACTTTTTAAAATGCCTTCAACAAAGCTAACCAGATTACCTATGATTTAAGAAATACCTATTCTCAGTATCCCACATGTACATTCCTTCCTTGGATATTGGGCTCCTGCTGTGTAATTAGATTCTTTGGCAGCATTTCCTTAGAGGTTTTAAAATTTCTCCCTTTTAGGGTGTTAGAGCAATGCATATGTACCTCTAGGGCCCTTTTTATGGCAGGCTGCTTTGCTGCTTCATATGGCTGGGCAGTTTCACTGCACTGGCAGTGATAACTCACAGAAAAGTAAACAGGTAGCACTATAAACTCAGAGTTTGGGTGTGTCGTACCTGCTGGTACTCTCCTGGGGATAGTGGACTTTTCCCCTCTCAAAAAGGAGAGAATCTGTTCTGTTCTATCCTGCAATAAAAGAGAGTTAGATATGCTTAGTCAAGTCAGCAGTCAGCTATGCCTGGAAGCTGCCTGGCTGGGAAGATGGTTCCAAAATATGCAAGCTTGATTCAGGAACAGCTGATAAACAGAGATAGCAGAGAATCATAGCAGGTGACTTGGTCACCATTGGAATACCATGGAAGAAAAAAGCAGTGGTAACCCTGGAAATCAGCAGCTAAAAAGCAGACTTCAGGGGGGTACAAATCATAGGTGACGATTAGCACAAACAGGGGAACTTATAGGAGAAAAGGAAAGCAAGTCAGAAAGATTTATGGTCACAAAAGCAAAGGTCTTGCAGTATAAATAAAGTGAATATTACATATTTCTTAAGGTGTTTGCAAATTTTAATAATAGAAAAGACAAGGTATAAGCAAATAAAAAAAACTAGGGTTATTTAATGAAGAGTAGAGAATCAAATCAATGATTATGTTGTATCCAATTAAGAATATATTCTTTACTTGAGAAGGGCTTGAGAGGTTAGAGGTAAATTCAAATTCTATAATATATTTGCTACTGGCTTTAAGTTTCTTGAACAATTTAATAATCTCACTTGGTCATCCATGAAGCTGTTCCTCTTCTGCAAATGATCATCTATATTACTAGTTGGTGTTTAGGATCCCAGTAAAACTTGCTTATACAACCGTGTCCATAACCTTGTAGTTGTCAGACTGCTTGCCTAGCCTCTAATTGCTGCATCTTGAGCAGCTCTCAGAGTTTCTGGGGTGGGGCAGAGGGATGGCTAGAGGATGGAGAAATAAAAGAGACAGAAAGCTGAGGTCAGGTGGAGCCCTCTCTCCAGCTGGGAGGAAAGGAACTGGCCAAGGACTGCAGAGCTTTTGTTTATACCTTCTAGAGGTTGATGTCAATTTCAACCCCCCTGCCTAGCAACTTGTTTGTGATCTGGAACAGCTTGTTTAAGTGGCTCCCCTCCAGCTCCCTGTGTTCTGGGGGTGGGCTTTGTCTTAGCCCCGCATGTGTGATCAATCTCCAGCTTCAGCTGTTCTCCACATGAAGGCCTATTATTTCTATTCAGGCTACTAGAATGAAGGGCTATGGAAGAGTAGAAGAAAGTTTATGTATGTCATTTTTATAAGAAAAGGAAACATTATGATTTTTTTCTTTTAAAATTTGTTTTGTTTTGATACTTCTTTTTCATCAAATTGACAACTTAGAAAGTTGTCTCAGCTGGACACCTGTGAGTGAATGAGAGGTGGGCTCTGGGATCAGATTCCTGCTGAGTGTAAGTTTGCCAGTCCTTGACTCTCTTGTGACTCTGTACCATATGTCTCTGAGAATGTGATGATATCTACTGTGTGTCAAGGAAATTTCCAAAATGATTTGGTTCATAAAACTGTCAGTTGATTTCATATATCTAATTGAAGCATTTTCTCTCCAAAATAGGACAATTTACAGAGGTGTCTCTCTGGTTTATTTACACTGCATTTTCCCATAAAGCAGCAGGTTTGCAATAAAGCTTTTGACACCCCCTATGGTATTTTGAGAAAAACAATATACAATCTGGTGCAAGTTAGCACCAATGTGAAATGGCAGACTGGGGGGATAGCTTCAACAGCAGCAACTTTTGAAAGTAAATGAAGTGTCATCTTAAGGAGTCTGCTGTTAATGCAATTTAAATTACTCACCTGAAATTAATATTCTGCTGAGGGAAATAAAACAATTTAAGAGACCACATAATTTCCAATCACTTTAATGACATTATGTGGTCATGGACCGCTCCCTTATCCAATATAGTAACACTTCGGTTTCTTTGAACACTAAACACATTTTTCCATTTTAATTACTTGGCTTCTGATAGAAAAATCCAGTCATTTTCTGCAGATGGTTAACAATTTGAGATTTATACCTTGCTTCACCAGAATTGGGTAAACATGACATTGACATATTTATTTTTGTATTGAATATTCATTCCTATAGAGGAAGGTAGAAGTCAAAGGACTGTGACTTACCATGCAAATTCTCTTATCCCCATAAAAGTTTCATTTTTCTCCCCCTCTCCAGCTCAAGGCAGTTTGAAACTTGCACTGTCTTAACTTCTTCTCATTTTGGCACATGGAAATGCTAAAGAAAAAAATGCAGTTCTTATAACTTCCCAGTTCTCAAGTGGAAAGAAGAAAGCATGCCACGTTCTTTCCAGGTGAGAGCTGAGATTCCTGGATTTTTGGGCTGACTGGATGAGCTAAGGAGAGGATACGTGTGTTGACTGTTAAAGGACATGGTGGACTTAGTACTATATATGAGCGAGGGTTAAAGCAGTTAAAAAAATAACCCAACCATTATTTCAGAGTTGGTTTGAAAAAGAAATGATGAACAACAGCTAAACAGATGGTATTTAGTAAATGTCTTCATTTCCCAGCGTTTCCCTATCCTCTGATTTTGATCTCATGAACAAGAGAGGTCTGTGGCTTTGGGCAGGAAGAAAAGGCCACTGGGTACTGAATCCTTGTCCCATGCAAAGGATTCTTATTCCAGTACCCCAGTTTCAACCAAGCCTCATTAAGTCAGAATATCTGAGAGTGGGATGTGTGTATCTTAAATATATTTTCAAGCTCCGCAAAACAAATGACTCTGCTGTGTAGTCAATGTGGAGAACTGTGGTGGTATGGAAGCCTTTCTAAGTCCAGAGGAATTTGGTTGGCATTGTTATTCCATAGAGAGTTCAATTATCTATTTAACTTTACTCTTCACATATTGAAGACAAAAGAGAAACATATTAATTTGGATTTAATGAAGCAACAGCCAACTTCCTTATGGTAATTACTGATAGTTTTTGTTCAGTTCCTAAAGCAGGATATAGCATATTGGAGTTTCTTTTTGAATATTTCCTAAATAAATTCTTAGCTCATTTAAGTTTATCAGTGTAAATTTTGTACTCCTTGTTAATAGAGTATTTAAAATTGAAATATCCTTTTTGTTTAGTATAGCACCTGACATGCATAAGTAAACCTCTTTAGTAAAACAAGACAGAAATATATTTTTCCTGAAAGACCTTTTGCATTGGGCAGGAGAATTCTTCCTTAAATGTTTTAAGAAGAGTGTTCTCCCTTAAATGGCTTGAGAAGAGAGTTTTCTTTTCCTTTGGAAATTGTTTATATTCAAAGTAGTAATTCAAGCTTATAATAGGCATTGGTCATGTGTTTGGATGAATGAATGAATGAATGGCTAACAACTAATACTGCTGGAAATGAACCTTGTTTCTAAATAACATCAAATGACTTTTTTTTTTTTTTTTTTTTGGTTTTTCTCCGGTACCGGGAACCGAACTCACGACCTTGCGCTTGCGAGGCAGGCGCTTTTGCCGCTGAGCTA